AGGCCGATTGAAAACAACTTGGCCTCTATACGAAAATGCATCTTTGAGCCGTGAGGAGACGAAGAACAATTTTATTCCTAGATTTTCTGGAATATTGTCGCAACTCAGATGTTGATCCTCCTATAGGTCGTAACTTGACTACTCGCTTGGCTTTTGACGAGAGGTTTTGATCTTTTCATCCCCAAATAAAGAGTCAATACAGTTTTCGTATAAAATTTGACATTTAGACATTTATTGATTAAAAAGAAAAAATCATGGATAAATGCTTGTCATATGGTAGGTTAGCAAACAAAAAAGGACATAAGTGCTTGCCAAATGAAACACAAACGCAAAACAACACTTACAAAAAAACAGTACTTATATTACAACGTCTAGCATGGGGTTGACTAGAGTCCCTGTATATACCTTAGACAAGAGTCCGGACACAAAACTGACAGCCGTTGGGGTTTTTAATATTTTGTTTTATTTGGTTTGCCCACCTGACAATGTGACGAAACACCATAGTCGTCCTGTCCGCTTTTCTTAATTATTTCGAATTTCTGTCACTGTCACTTTGAAATTTTATGACCGCCAGAATTTAGCATTTTAAATTATTTCAATGTCCTGCTGCGTATATTATTGCGATAAAGGGATAAAAGTTGTTCAATTCTTCGAATGATCCTTCAAAGATAATGTCATGGAAGAATGCAATGGAACGTCCAGAATGAAAAATTAATTTCAAGAAATCCGCAATATGTGAGGTAAATATTAAATTTACTTGTGAAAACAAACAAAAGATGAATTTTAGACCCATTTTGATAGAGATTCTTTCAAGCTGATGGATTTCAAATTGAAAGAGTTTGCTGTGCCGTCAATTTATAAAATAGAGACGTTCAAAAAAAGAGTTCCGTCGTCATCGTATTGGGAATTACTGAATGATACGATCGCAGAGAAAGAAAATGAGAATGAGATGATGCGGAAAGAAATTGAAAGTTTGAAATCAAAACTAGAAGATTTAAAGAAATTGCAATGTGCTATGTCGCCAGTCCACGGTGTTTTTTATTCAGATCAAATGTGGTACCACTGGATATGAACACCTGTTAAAATTAAAATTTCCATTTCCTACAATCAGAACACTATCGACGCATATAGGTATATACAGTATGATGCAAATGTATGGAATAAATTCATTATTTCATAAATGGGCGACATTTGAAAAAATTCCAAAAACACGTGAGTTTTAATTTCTGAAGCCTCATCTCATGATATTCATATGAGAGATGTTACGTCACCGGTGTTGGAGTAAAGACGTAATGGACGATTTTTTCAAATACTAATAGGGGTCATGTGACACCTTGAATGAAAGGTCTACCGATCGTCTATTCAACAGTCAAAATTTTGCATAAGAAGATTGAAATTATAATGGATTATCATGTGATTAATTGAATCTTGCAGAGGTCTGCTACTGAGAATTGAACATCGAAAGGTCGTCTAGTTAAAAAAATACGTCGAAAAAAAAGTTCTAAACTCTAGTTTTTGTTTTTATTTTTTCGAATGTCGTCTTGTTTTGAAATGAATTTATTCCATACATTTGCATCATACTGTATATTGTTGTTTTGATTTTGTCACTTTTATTTCTGCTGAGTGTTAATAAATTAAGAGAATCGGAGAAAATTATATTGAAACAATTATATATCTTCTATTTTTTTATATTCCAACAGAAAACAACTATATTTTCTTGGCTATATGTGATACCACGTAGAACACTTAAATTATCTTTCTTATTTCTAATGAAGTGGAGAAATATCTGATGATGAAAATTTGCAATAGCCATCTCAGGAATTGATTATGAAAATTATCCATTCGAAATTTAAACACCCTGTTGTTCATTATTTGAAAATCTAATAGTTATTCTAGTTAAAATAGCCCTATTTCTCACTTCTACCTACGGCTATATGAACAGTTTGACCAGATGTCCCAAACTTGATATTAAAATTGCAAACATGATTCTCTACTCTCATATACTGAGTCGTATCAACTATTTAATAAATGTTTGGGGATCTTGTTCAAAAAATAATTTCAATAAAATATCAACATTATATAGAAAATCGTTAAAAGTATTGTATCGTCTCCCATTTGATACACCAACCAATCAATTGTATGAAATAACAAATACGTATTCTTTAGATGAAATATATAGAATTGAAACTCTCAAAATATCATATAATATCATAAATAAAAAATTGAAGTCGAATATTATTTTGATACGGAATTCTGAAATTCATAATCATGAAACTAGACAATATAACTTGTTCCATCTTGACGCCGCCTAGCTCCCTAATCGGACAAAAAAGATTCACTCATTCAGCCTTAACTGAATTCAATAAACTACCTGATAATATAAAAAATTGCAGAAATATAGGTATATTCAAAAATGAAGTAAAAAAACTGATTATTTCTCAGCGGACTGGATAACATTAATCATGCCATTTTTTTTTCTTTTTTTTTTTTTTATTTACAAATATTATTCTTTGTTTGCCAATTTACAGTTGTTGATATATTTTGAATGATGCTATGTTTACCTATAGGTATATAATTATGTACTTCCTTATACCAGAGCCTATTCTGTCTGGAAGTTATTTGTTCAATAAATAAATAAATAAATAAATAAATAAAAAAAAAAAAAAAAAGCTCGATATATATGTCTTATTCCTTTATGCAATCATCAATGCATTTATTGAAAACAGAAAAGGACAGAAGTATAGCTGTGTCCGGACTCTTGTCTGAGGTATATACAGGGCTTCTAGGGTTGACCAGAAGGATTGAAATCAGGAAGACGGCGAACATTTTCAATTGATAAATACTAATGACTTGTATTGATTATAATAATGCCTTATCATCAATAAACTTTAAAGGAAAATACTTCTTACCGTAGAGTAAATTCTGACTACCAAGCTGTTGGTGTAGGAGTTCCTCAGGGATCTGTTTTGGGACCTATTTTGTTTTTATGCTATATCAACGAACTGGATAGTCTCACCAATAATTCGCATTATGTAATTTATGCTGATGATACTACTATACTCATATCAGACAAAAATGACGATAATCTATCGGAACACTGCCACAACGTTATGGATACAGTGATCTCTTGGTGTAGTGTTAATTCACTCCTCTTTAATGTAGAAAAAACGAGCGTTATGAGATTTCATCATCGGCAAAAACGGTGATCGGCATGGTGATCTGCTGGGAAATGTTGATGAGTTAACATTCCTAGGAATCGGCATAGATGAATGTTTAACATGGAAATGCCACTGTAACAAATTGATAAAGAAAGTAAATTCTCTCTGTTATATGTTTCGGAGTCTAAAAACAATACTAACAGAAGAACAGTTGTTGCTCTATCATGCTCAAGTTTCCTCTCGAATCCGCTATGGTATAAATTTTTGGGGTAACACTCTATCACCGGATGTTTAAATTGTACAGAAAAGGATTATAAGAATAATAGCAGGCATACCTAGTCAACAATCTTGCCGAAATATTTTTAATAGCCTTAGCATTTTAACTGTCATTGGTGTTTTTGTAAAAATTCATTACTAATAGGAATATACATGGTATAAGTACAAGACAATGTGACAATTATCACATTCCAATGTGTAAAATATGAGATAACACTCCAAATTACTTTGGACTCAAAGTTTTCAATGAACTTCCCAGTCGATTGAAAAACTTCAAAAAACTCAGTCATTTCAAAACGAACTTGAAGTAATTCCTACTGGAAATGAATCCCTATACTTAAGAAGAATATTTTTCGGTAGCCTAGTCGTTTTGTTTCTGTCTCTATAATATCGAACTATTATCATTTTATCGTATGTCTCAGTCTCAAACTGTCTAGTTTTAAGCCTTCAATCTGACGATTCCTATACATACATGTAAAAATGTCTAATGGAAAATAAACGTATTGTATTGTATTGTATCGCACGGTAAGCGGTTTTTTGCAAATTTTAAAGGAACTGACGTCTATGAACTCCGCTGACCTGATCGAAACTACAATTGTACTGGATGTTTCAATTTGGAAAAGTTAATTTATGATAAAAAATCTTGAAATGAACAAGAGTTTGAGTGATGTTGATTCATAAGCATTTGTACTTCTTGACAATATTTCAAATTCAAAACCTTTAAAGATTACTGCTTTGCTGCTTCGTATGGCAAATCATTCAGGAAACTACCCACATAATAATATTTGTATTTTTTTCAATTGTCAATTTTCATTATTGATTTATAGAGATCATGAGAATTTCTTCAACAAGCCCTTGATCAGTAGCGTGTCCAATAATGTCGGCGAATCCTCGAAAGAAATCGATGATAAACATGAAACCCACACGACGCGTCAAATGAATCTGAACCAACAGCTGTCAGACATACAAAAACAACTGGTACTGAAAGAGAGCCTCGCTAAACAGCTGAGCACCAATAATCAGTACATCGTCGACTATCAGGTAAATAAAAATACCATTGAAATAGCTGTCGATATAAAAAAAGTTTTGTTAATTTATTATTTATTTCAGGCATTGACCGATCATGAAGCCAAAATTGCCAATTTAGAGAAAGAGAAGGAAGAATTATTGCGTCAGCTGAAAACAATCGGCGTATCAGGAAAAAAATCTGAACAATACAGGAAGAGAGTGCAAGAATTAGAATCACAATTGACTGAGTTCAAGAAGAAGGTGAGATTACTTCTAATCTTGTTGAAGTCTTCTGTATATGTATATTTGGAGTGCATGAACAGGATTTACCTGAAAATAATGCAAAATAACTCCTATATTTTCTTTAGGAATAAGTTGAGAACATTTCGATTTGCGAAGGAGGCAGTAGAATTTATGGAATCTTATTTATCAGACAGAGTACAATACGTTTCTTACAATGGATTCAAATCCGAAAAGTACTGTGCCTTGTCTGGTGTACCACAAGGCTCGAATCTTGGCCTATTACTCTTTCTGTTATTCATTGATGATCTATGTGATACAATAGATACTCACTGTTTGTGCTATGCTGATGATTTGAAATTATACTCATTGATTATTAACGAGGACGATTGTCATAACCTTCAAACTCAACTGAATGATGTGCATACGTGGTGCAACAATATTTATCTTTGTCTGAATATCAATAAGTGTAAGGTTGTAAGTTATACGAGGAAAACTAACTCTTTTGAGTATCCTTACGAAATTAATGGGTCTAGATTGGAACGGTTGAAAACATTCAAAGACTTAGGAGTGATTTTTGATCAGAAACTCACCTTTACTGAACATATAAAATCAAAAGTGTCTGAAGCACTACGATCTTATGGATACATAGTTAAAAACAGCAGAGATTTGACCAATATAAAAGCTATTAAACTCCTGTACTTTTCATATGTACGAACAAAACTTGAATATGCAAGTATAATATGGTCTCCATTTTATGAAGTTCACATTCAGCTTGTAGAGAAAGTGCAACGTAGATTTTTAAAGTATTTGCTTTTCAAAATTGACGGTATTTATCCCCGAAGGGGTATCGATAACAACGAACTATGTGAACGACTGAATTTCATGTCTCTAGAAATGAGGAGGGATTGTGCTTCCCTTATATTTCTTTACAAGATTCTACACAATTTGATAGACTGTAGCGATATACTGGAACAGCTTAACTTTAATGTGCCATCTTATCCCACTCGCAATGCTGTTACCTTCAGAAACACACGAGCTGATACAAATATTATGCTTAACTCGCCTATTTATGTAATGTGCAATAGCTATAACTGTATTGCAAACATGTGTGACATACTCAGTTGTAGCATTAGTAGTTTGATTAAAATTGTAAATTTGCTGCCATAGGATAACCATGTGATTAGCTATAATTTCGTTATTTCTTATATTATTTTGATCTTTATTCAGCTATGCTTCATCATATTCTGTAATATTGTCCTGTAAATGGGTAACGGTTGGACAATAAAGCTATTATTATTATTATTTAGCTCAATTATATCTGTCAGTGTTGATATTTAAAAAAAAAATCTCCACAGGGGTCTGAGAGTTTATCATTGTCCGCACTTGTGTGAGAAATAGTCACTCTTTGTACTAGTGTATTAATTGATCACTTGCCACATTATTGTGGTAATAGGTCAAATTGCATTAGTGGAGAAATCGGATACTTCCCGTACTAGTTTGGGATTGTTCACTATCTGCACTGGTGTATGAATTGGTTATTCCCGCCCCAGTGTGACTTCCCAATTAGTGTCACTAGTAACAATTGATCAATTTTTGCACTGGTGTGAGGATTAGTCAATACTTGCACTGGTGTACGGATTGATCACTCCCCCTTCAGTGTGAAAATTAGTGTGTAGGAATTGATCATTACCAACCGTAATGCGAGAATTCTTAATTTTTTTCTCCATTTTCTGGTGCGCATGAAAGATTATTGGTCACTTCCACATTAGTGGAAAAAACAGAAGCAGTTATGCTCTGCGGAAATAAAAGGCCGACTATGCCAACTTTCGAGTTGAGAAATAAAAAGATACAAGTCTCTAAAGCGGTGAAGTATTTTGGAGTCACTTTAGACCAGAGGTTAAGCTTCACTAATGCCAAATATTGGACGTCCTAAACCAGAACAACGGAGAGTATATGCGGCAGTAATACACTCCACGTTACTGTATGCAGCACCAGTATGGATTGACACGTTAAAAATCAAGAGAAACCCTATCAGACTTGCAAACACACAGAGGAGGATGGCCCTAAGAACAGCCAGTGCATATAGGACCGTGTCTACAGAACAACGTATACACTCATTATTTACATAAACGACTAACGACTAAGTGGAGTAACTGAATGTCAATGATTCATTTTAAGTCCATTCGCCCATTCTGGCACTGGCGTGCTAATTTGTCACTTCCAGTATTAGTGTATGAATTGGTCTTTTATCATAATATTGTGGAATTTGTCACTTATCACACTAGTGTGGAAATTGGTCACTTCCCGCACTAGTGTGGTAATTGATTACATCCCGCACTAGTGTGGTAATTGATCACAACCCGCACTAGTGTGGTAATTGGTCTCTTCCCACACTTGTGTGGTAATTGGTGATTATTGGCAGTATAGTGGAATCGGTTGTTTTTAGCGCCTAATATACGTGCGGGAATTTTCTTTCCCTAAAAATGAGTGTAGACAAGTTGCAGTGTTCCAATTTGTTTCTTGGTACAAACAGGTCCAAGAGCTCGCTCGCCTCATAAAACTGAAGGCGAACGACGAGCTGCGCATCACCAAACTGAACCAAGACATCTTGCAAATGAAACAGACGAAGGTGAAGTTGGTGCGCACGATGCGCGACGAGTCGGAGAAATTCCGGCAGTGGAAGATGCAAAAGGAGCGCGAATGTCAGCGGCTGAAGCAGCAGGACAGAAAGAAGGATAACGAGCTGGTGAAGATGAAGGTGATGCACGACAAGCAACAGGTGGTGTTCAAGGCACGAGTGGAGCAAGCAGAGGCGGTCAATAAGCGCTTGAAGAACTTGTTGGCTTTGAGGCAGCAGGCGCTGGACGCGAAGAATACCGGCAAGGCCGATAAGGTGGAACCTTGGGTGAGTTTGTTTCTTTGTTTTTTTTTGTTTTGCGACTCGTACACATCTACCTGTTCATGTGCATTCAACCGTTACCACCGATACAACAAGACCTGCATGCTCCGTGGGTGACGTCACTTAGTCAGGCTAACCAGTGGATCGTTACACTTGAAACTGTAATTTTTATGGGTAAAACTGCATTTATCATGCGATGGTTTTTTTTTTTTGAAATTTTTGTTCGGTGCTCACGTATTTTTGTCTGATAAACCGAATTTTATAATGAAAATGTGAACAAACCACTATTTATTGAGATATTTCAAGAAAAAGTTCGAAATTTTGCCTTCTTTCTCCCCTTGTGTTGGGGGCATTTGAAGCTACTTGCTCTTATTTTGTCATTGGACACTTTATATACTCATGATGTACTTCGATGGCACATTTTTATATAGAAAATTCAACAGGAAATATGATTTTTATGGCGAGTTTTCCATATTTAGTGAACAAGCATTCCAGATGACGACCATTTAATCAATAGTCAATCAAAATACGAGATGTCAAATGTCAATAGGTTGCTTTCGAATGACATTACACACGCCATTAGTTTGAATGATATTCTTCCTTCTTTTCACTAAATATGGATTAATCTCAAGAAAATCATATTTATAGTTGAATTATATATAAATTGTCCAATATGATGAAAAAAGAAGGGAAATTTGTTCTAAATGCCATCCAGAAGACAGGTGAAAAAGAAGGTGAAATTTGGAACATTTTAGTCAAATATCTTCATGATAAATATCATGATAAATGCAGTTTTACCTTTTTAAGTAGAGTATTTGTAGTTCATGTTAATATAATAGTTGCAATTTGATCATTGGAATGAATTCTGCATTCATTGCCACGAGGCAAATGTCCGTTTTCAGAAAGAAATTTGAGAATGAGAATTAAAAATGCCTGTTCATCATGAACATTCAAGAAAATTTCCTCGAATTCAGAGATGATTTTGTTGACTATAATATACGAATACAAAACTAACTGCACAATCAAAGCTTTTCTATTTTTCCTCTAATACTTTTCATGAGAGAGTAATTGTCTTCTATTATTAATTCATCATTATAAATTAAGCTCTGTTTACTACTGAACTTAGATGGAGTAAAATCCTCGCGGTGAATTGCATATACTTACCCACATTTTCGATAGCTCTTCGTCCAACGGGAAACTAAAAGCATGAACTTTTGAACCACCCACATAATTCCTCCTACAAAAGGGAACACAACACTTGAAAGGCATTGTTATTTCGCCGATCACAACACAAAATATTTCACAAAACAGTAATTTTTCCGCCAATTATTTTGATAAATAAACAACAAAAGAATTCGGGACCGTTTTAGAAACATACGGGAATCACCGATGAATTAACACGAACAGACGCGTCAGTCGACAAGCGATAAAATAAAACACTGGCCTCACTTGGCGACGTCACGAGCTGTTTACGTCAGAGTCTGCTGGCCTTGTTGTATCGGTGGTAATGATTCAACTCCCACTGGTCATCTTTATCGGAATCGATTTCCAGATCTGATCCTATCTGATTCAACAAATCGTAAAATTCATCTTGATCTTTTTGCAATTCAAAATTTTTGGAATGGAGGGCAGTTTTTACACACTGGAATGTTCATTGATCCGTAGCGGTATGCTTCCGGAGCACACAAATGTGATGGTATACAAATATGTCCTGAAATCTGATCCCGAAAAATTTTTTGGAAACAGACCCTGTAAACCACCATGTCGAATCATGTTTCCATTTGCCATTCAATGCATAAAATCATTCACAATATCATATTATATAGTTGATGTTTTTGATTCACTCACCTTCAGGAAACATTTTTCAGTCGAGACCAATTGCACCACACAATGATTTATTTTTTTTTACGCCGCCTGAAAATAAAATAAGCAGCAAATGCGGTTTGTTCCGTGCAAATAGAACATTCACAAGCATAGTGGCTGGTTCTCAATCCAGCAAAATAGTATTTTGATTCTTATAAATCACTTAGATAATGCCCGTACAATTGTGAGGGTACGGAGTATGAGGGGTATACAGGGTGGGGTATTAGTGCGTCGGAGCTCGATTGCTCGAGTTCTGTGATAGCTAGAAACTCGATTCAAAAAGAATGTGAATGAGACAACAAGATCCATGACTAGAAATTATTGCCGCATATACAGGGGGCACCGGAAAAAAATCTGGAGGATCAGTTTTTTTTTAATGGAATGCCCTATATATTAGCACTTTTTTCTAAGCATCTCTTTGAAATCCATCCACTCCTATAATATTGTTGAATATATATCGATAATTAATATATGGCGGACGTTTTTTGTAATTATGATCCGAAGCTATTCAAAATTTGTATCTCTGGGTTTTCGGGATACTCTTCCGTCAAAATTTGAAAATTCAAGATAGCGGAGCCAATATGGCGGCCGAGTTCTGTAATTATGATCTGATTCTTTTGTCAAAATTAGAAAATACAAGATGGCGGAGCCAATATGATGGAAAGAGTTTTGTCATTATATGATCCGATTCTAAGCCGAACTATAAAATAGAAAATTAATAGAAGTTTGAAAAACTAGAGAAACACCCCTTTATAGATAGCCAAACTAAAAAGAAGTAGAAAATGAAATAATAAAAGTGTGTTGATAAATACACAACATAGAATGTACTGATTACGGAGGTGCTAATATTTTCTATGTTGTGTATTTATCAGCACACTTTTATTATTTTATTTTCTACTTCTTTTCAGTTAAGCTATCTATGAAATGGTGTTTCTTTAGTTTTTCAAACTAACGACCAATTGTTACATTGTCGGAGAAAAAGATATCGTAGGAAGAGACCAAATGACAAGAAAAAGTATATTTATCAGTTCTACCAACTCAAATCTAACGTTTCAGTTTAAGAATTTGGTTATTCCTTTACTTGTTTCAACAGTTGGTACTTTTTTCTATGGCATAGCATCCCCTTTCATATTTTCGAATGAAATTTCGAAAAGTCAGCGCTACCCATGTGTTTTGTTAAAAATGACACATCGAGATAAGATCGACTGAATAATGCTACCGATTCAATCACTCTCAGGTACTTGGTGATTCACCAGAATATCATAAATTGTTGATGAACGGTTATCTTGCAATGGGGAAGTTTCCTTTAGATGGATTTTCATAAAATCAGTTCGGAACTCTCCAGTTTTATGTCCACGCTGTACAGAATGGCGACCGATAAAGTCCAAGTTCTTTTTCATTTTCAAACTAAAGCAATTTCTAATTTTCGGGGAGGCAAACTGTGACGTACATTCTGAATCCTTTCTGGAAATAGCTGATGGTGAAGAATATAGCTAGCGAATAGCTAAAGAATATAGCTAACGAATGAAAAAAGTAGAAGAAGAAATAAAAGTGGTAATACATACATAACCACAAATGCACTCGGAGCCGGAATGCAGAAGGTAGTTGGCTTCATTCTGGCAGGTTATGGTTTTGTAATTTATGCATTGAAATATCTCAAATAGAGCTCGATCATGAACGAAAATATCAATGAATCAATGAATCACTATCGGCTACATTCCATGATACTATCCTTCCTAATTTACTGTCATCGGTCAGAACAGAATGAAGCCGACACCCATGGCTCCTTCCTCTTGTTGTGCCTGTCAGTATTTTGAGTGGTGTGGACGGACTCGAAGTATTAGGCGCTGTTGCAAGATATAATCTACAACTTTCCTAAAAAATAGATCCGTTTTATTAAGGAACGAAATCATTAGCAAAAAAATGACTGACAAGTCATGAATAACATATTGTAATATAACGATAGTACCATCGCAAAATATCATAATTTATCTTTATTAGTAATCAATTCCATTCAGCCAATGAGAGATTTATGGAAATTATTCATAATACTCAACAAAGTAGGATTGAAGAACCTATTATATCCCATTGATGTTATGATATAGTTATTATGCATTCAAAGAACAATTTCTGGAAATCTAGACATATGGATGATGTCGGCAACGTCGTGCTGGCACAGGGAATCGTATTTTAACTCTGTGTGAATGTGGATTTTCAGAAAGTAAGTCATAGTAATGGCGGAGGAGCCAAGTTCCTCTTTCATTTATTTTTTTCTGAATTGAAATTGGATCTTACGAAAATACGTATATATTATTTTTCACAAACTTGACATAGGAAACTTCCCCATTCAATAAAAATTATTCTTCATTTTCAACTTCAACACTCGGTATCTCGCAAACTAAGCCTCCTACGACCAATAGCTATGGAAACTTTTTTCAATTTTTTAAGACGCCCTACTTATTACCTCTCGAAGTGAGTCTTACATATTATGAAACACCCTGTAGAGATCGATAGACTTCTTGATCTTCACGGTTTTTCGTAGCTGAAACGGGAGTACGAGTTGTACATGAATTTGGTGGAAGCAGAAGCTACTTTGAACGTCTTGCTGGAAGACAGAGCCGTTCTGATGCAGCAGCTCAACGAGTTGAAAAACGCTCCAGATAGTGAGAATTCCGAGGAGTGCAAGTCCATAGAGGAGGATCTCGAATTGAGATCGGCTCAGATCCATGATCTGCAGCAAAAGCTCTCCGACTCTGACGAAGGTATTTTCCATTTTCTTATTGGGTATCTGCACTTTCAAATATTATTATTAGCAATTTTATGACATTGTGTAATTGAGAATCAGTTGGCAGGCGTTTCAAAAAATACCTACATAGCTGCAGATGAATCTTCACTAAGAAGGATTGATTTCCAGAGAACTTTCAAGAAATATTAAGGAATTTCAAGAGATGATAGAACATTTTAAGAAATTCGAGGTTTTCCTAGAAATAACAACATAACCTCGTTCAAAACTTTGTGCAAAAAGTTTTCATTTCCTGAGAAAGAATTTTAAGAAATTTCAAGGGATATTAGGAAATTTCAAGAAATAATAGATCATTTCATGAAATTCAAGGTTTTCCAAGAAATAACTACATAACATCGTTTGAAACTTTGTGCAAAAGTTTTTCATTTCCTAAGAAAGAATTTTAAGAAATTTCAAGGAATATTAAGAAATTTCAAGAAATAATAGAACATTTTAAGAAATTCGAGGTTTTCATCGAAATAACAACATAACCTCGTTCAAAACTTTGTGCAAAAGTTTTTCATTTCCTAAGAAAGAATTTTAAGAAATTTCAAGAAATATTAAGAAATTTCAAGAAATAATAGAACATTTTAAGAAATTCGAGGTTTTCATAGAAATAACAACATAACCTCGTTCAGAACTTTGTGCAAAAGTTTTTCATTTCCTAAGAAATAATTTTAAGAAATTTCAAGGAATATTAAGAAATTTCGAGAAATAATAAAACATTTCATGAAATTCAAGGTTTTCCAAGAAATAATTACATAACATCGTTTGAAACTTTGTAAAAAAAGTTCTCATTTCCTAAGAAATTTCATGGAATTTTAAGGAATGACAAGTTTTATTGTCAAGGAACTTCAGGAAATTTCGGGGATTTCTTGGGAGTTACGAATAAACATAGTTATTCTAGGGATTTTTAAAAAATACTGAAGATAAATGCGTTTGGAATTTTGTACAGCAAACTTCGATGTCTTGAATAATTTCAAAGATTTCTAGGAAATCACAAGAAATTAAAATTTTTTTCCGTCGACCTCGTATTAACGACTAAGTTTAATGTATATGAAATCGTTTATTAATGACCCCTATTAATGAACGATTTGTCTATTAATACACGATTGTTTTATAGGCAACCAAACATACACCGCGTGCATTCATTGTATATGCTATAACTTACGGAATCTGCATTTAAATCGAAAATATGGATTTCATCGACGATTTTCCGTTAACGGGTTCGCCTTTCCAAGTTTCTGACATGATATTAATCCCTGTTTTTTAACACAAGAAATTTATTTCCTATGTTGATCATTTCGACAAATGTCAAATATGTCTAATGTCAGTAACAGGGCTATACTGGGTGATTCTTAGCAGTTTCCGGATGGATGATGATTTGGCGAACCAAGTTTTCTTCATTGCAGGAGAAATGAGAAATATAGTCGACGGAAAAATTTTGTAACCAACTTGTATATTAAAAGGCGATTAATGATCTCGAACATTAACGCACTCGCTTCGCTCGCACGTTAAAATATCTCGATCATTAATCGCCCTCATTAATATACTAGTTGGTTAAATAACTATTTCCGTCGACCTCGTATTAACGACTAAGTTTAATGTATATGAAATCGTTCATTAATGACCCCTATTAATGAACGATTTGTCTATTAATGTACGATTGTTTTATAGGCAACCAAACATACACCGCGTGCATTCATTGTTTATGCTATAACTAGCGGAATCTGCATTTAAATCGAAAATATGGATTTCATCGACGATTTTCCGTTAACGGGTTCGCCTTTCCAAGTTTCTGACACGATTTTAATCCCTGTTTTCTAACACAAGGAATTTATTTCCTATGTTGATCATTTTGACAAATGTCAAATGACACTAATGTCAGTAACAAGGCTACTGGGTGATTCCTAGCAGTTTCCGGATGGATGATGAATTCGCGAACCAAGTTTTCTTCATTGCAGGAGAAATAAGAAACATAGTCGACGGAAAAATTTTGTAACCAACTTGTATATTAAAAGGCGATAAATGATCTCGAACATTAACGCGCTCGCTTCGCTCGCACGTTAAAATATCTCGATCATTAATCGCCCTCATTAATAAACTAGTTGGTTAAATAACTATTAGTAAATTACAGGGTATTTTAGGGAATAAGATGGAGTTTAAGAAATTACAAAAAAAATAGTAATTAGTCTCAAGCTCCAGAAAGTTTCGGAGTTTACTGCGCATTTTGGTGAATAACAAGAAATTATAGTAATTATTTTAGGGATCTTCACTGGCAAGTCACCTCTGAAATTTTTACCCCAAACCATTATTTCCTAAAAAAATTAAATGAATTTTAGGAAATATTCATAAAATATAGGAAATTATTATTAATTTTAGAAACCCCCAAGTAATCTTTGGAGATTTCAAGAAATTTTAGGAAATCACAGGATATTTCATGATATTTCAAAGAGTTTTGGGAAGTAACAAGAAATTTTAGGACATAACAGGGAATTTTAGGGATCACAAAATATTGGGTTATTCTAGGAATTTTCGAGTTTTTCCTCGGAACGGTGGGGCAAAAACGCGTAAATTTGTTGATTTTTATTTTCAGAGAAATTTCAATGGATTACAGGAAGTTTCGATGAATTTTTGAAAATTATAAGGAATTTTAGGAAGTCTCCAGCAATTACAGGATTTTGCAAGCAACTTCAGGAAAGTTGAATGCTATTGTAGGAAAGTTCAAAGAATGTTTTTAAATTTCAAGGAATTTTTGTAAATTACAGGGAATTTGAGTGAAGTTTAGGGAATTTCAGGGAATTTGAATAAATTTATTGAGTTTGAAATTTAGCACAAACTTATATTTATTGAGAAATTTTGAAGGATTACAGGAAATGTCAATGAAATTTAGGAAATTATAAGTAATTTCAGTAAGGAACTTCAGGAAATTACAAGGTAGTTTTAGAAATATCAAGGAATTTCAAGATATATTAAAAAAAAAAAGGATACGGAAGAAAATTTGGGTTTTTCAGGAAAATACAATAAATCGAAGAATATTCCATGTCATTCCAAAAATCATGAAAATTTGTACAGGAAACTTGAATTTCCCACAATTTCAAGTGAATTAATGAAATCACATTACATTGTCGTTGCAGAACAAAGATCGAAGCCTTTCTGGGAGAAATTCCAAACGATGGGCGAGGCTAAATTCGGTATGAAATTTGTGTGTTTGAAAGCTGCAGACGTCCACAGAGAAAGGGTGCAAATGCAAACCAAATTGAGCGAATGGGAGGACATGTACAACGAGGTAATGATTGAATACTGTTTGTAGGTTAATCGAGGAGGTGGTACATTCATTATTCCAGATTTTTTGGGATTTTCTCTCCTCGTCTCTATAAAATGAAAGTATGAATATTATTTCAATATGTTTGTATGTCACTGCGTTTATAGTATATTATTCAACTAGCGCATAATTATGGCTATTACCCACGAAGATGAAAGGTGCATAGTCATTATGTGCTAGTAGAATACTATACATTATCTACAACTATTCAAATATCAAAGCAACTCTGAGAGTTCAGAAATATATTTTTGGAAATAATGAAGGTTATTATATTGCAAAATCACTAAATCTGATTTGAAATACTCATGAATTTCATCGAAAACTTATTGACAAAAAATTTCAATCAACGAACAGCTTATAACTTATTTCAATAATTTTGATTGTGAAAATATGATAGACAATGATGGATCTAACTTTTATTAACAGGAAAAAAGTCGTGCAATCACATATCAGTCAATCTTACCAAGTATTATTTGCCATTTCACTTTTCAGTTGTAAAATGAATCATATACTATTGCAGATTATTCATTAACTTGCTTCCGCTGTAGCATTCCTCCACCGCGATGATTAATTGTAGTACCCTGTCTCTAGACGCTAGTTATCAACAATGAAGTTCCATGGTTCTGATTGGTCTGTACTAATCTATTCGAATAGCCCGCACATAAGTGTGAGCCAATCTGCAACTGTCAAGTGTCGAGTTCTATTTTATGGTTATGGTTACTCATGATGGTAGTCACTGTTGAGAATGAAAAACAGTGAATTCTCATTTTTCCGTGTATTTGTAGAATTAAGGTGATTAAAACTATGAGAACCATGTAAGGTCAGTCCAGTGGCGTAGCGAGAGGTGTCGGGGCCCCGGTGCAACGAGGGTTGATGGGGCCCTAATTCACTGAGAAAATTCTCCAACCCTAGAGTTGAAGGTAGTTGAAGATCGAAAAAAAAAGAACAGAATTGTTAAAAAATTATATTTCTTGTAGTGGCGAGTCGTTATGAGTTTGAAATTTGAGAAAGCTGATATGAGCAAAATTGCGCTGCAGGCAATTCTTTTCGAAATTTCATGGTCAAGCTGCCTGGTTTAGAAGTTTAAAATGAGAATCGAATATATTTGTCTCTTGAGTATGAGTATCAGTTAATTTAATTTCCAATGGAAACAACTGAATGTACTTGTAACCAGTGTGCCCTCGTCGAGTTTGAATTACAACATTTAACCGCCCTGTAATCGAGTTGATCAAATTTCTCAAGTGGACTTGGAGAATAACCAAAATTCTTCAATTGTAGCTCTTGAAGAGTCTGACAAGGCCGGACGAATGCGAATGAGCCTCTGAAGTTCATCTCTAAGATACTCTAGAGGTTTTGAATTATTGTTGGCAAAAATTAATAAATTCCATACTTTCTTCGAACACTTGTATATTCCCTTTAAAAGGAGATATTGACGTGAATATTGAACCAATATGCTGTGAAGGGACGGAAAAGGATCAAACTTCAATTCAAAACATGATGAAGCAGAAGGTTGAAGAATGGTTCTGAATAATTGTTAATAAAAATAAAAGATACTTTCTTAAAACACTTTAATCTTCTGTTAAAAAGTGGTTATCGACGTGGATCAAGAACAATTGTGTTGAGAAAGAATCACACTTCAATCCTAAACATAATGAAGCCAAGTTTAACCACTCACTTTTTCCACAGGGCAATAGGAAGTCTAGGGTAAAAGAGTAACTTTTGTTTGTCCCTGTATAATGATCAAACCATCAGCTTTCCTCGGGACCTAATATTTAAGAAAATATTCCAAAACATGAATATACGGTTTGGTCGGAATTTCCCCGAAATCGGACAAGAATTAAAAAAGTTACAGGGCGAAATTTTATGGTGGCCGGTTTTTTGCCGGTGACTGTATATTTCCTACTTAATCATTATTGCTGGACGCCTATGAATGTTGGACTGTTGACTGTGATTTTACGATATGAAATATTGCTGCCAGCAGCGAGACCAGATCATAATCGTCAGTTGGAAGCTAATCAAAACGGTCACATGAAACCTATGAAAATTTGCGTCCTTATACACGTGTCCTAAATTTTTGATTGTTTTAATTTGGTTGCCCTGTTGGAGTCATTTTTGTGCTACCAAAATCTTGAATTATAAAATGGTACTCATTGATAATAACTGTCAAATTCAAAATACATTAGTTGTTTCAACTAAATACCGTGTTAGATTGCAATTTCTGCAAAAGTCACTGCATGATACAAACGGAGGTGAGGCGATGGACAAATAGTTTAACTCAGATTGCAGAAAATAAGCGGATGTATCAGGTGGCTGTCAGGGCTCGCCAACATTTGCAAATACAATTCTTGAACTTTTGACTTCATACTAGAGAACAAAAAAATACTTAACTTACTTACTGAACAGGAAGCGATGCTATTGTCTCCGTTCAGAAGAATGCAAGCAGATTCCTTGATTTTTCTCTTGTGGTTGTTATCTTCTTTTCCAATGATTTTAATATTATTCCACTTTGCCATATGTTGTCCATCTTCAGTAAGGATATGTTCTGTTAGTTTCGATTTGTCCGTGTGTCTTTACTTTATATTGTATTTATTCAGGACGAAGGAACATAAATACAATATAAAGAAACTAGCTGAACATATCCTCACTGAAGATGGACAACATATGGCAGAGTGGAATAATATTAAAATCATTGGAAAAGAAGATAACAACCACAAGCGAAAAATCAAGGAATCTGCTTGCATTCTTCTGAACGGAGACGATAGCATTGCTTCCTGTTCAGTTGATATAGATAGAACATGGTATTCACTACTAAAATCTGAAAATTGAAATGGTAAATTCAATATTAATTAATGAAAACATCCTGTCACTCATTTATTTGATTACCAACGTCACCTATTGTCACTGAAAACTGAGAGGTGTCAAAACGGATACGAATTTGATAGGCAAAAAAAACATTTTTTATGTTGAAAACGGGAGCAGATTCGTTCCCGAAACGTCCAAAGATAAGTCAAAATTTTTTATTTTTTCTATATACCTTCATTTCTCTTCTCCAAACCTTTTTCAATACAAATTGTCACTGACAAGCTAGTGAATTTTTCTTTTAGGCTCTCTGATCGGAAAATTCTTTGAACGTAGTGACATTTTGGAGCAAATCATCCGATTTGTCCTAACTCCACGTATATTGAAATACTATTCATATTTTCATCACATAGAAACGAGAAGAGAAAATCCCAAGAAAGTCTGTAATAATGAGGTGATGATTATTTTTTAGTCAAATTAGTACTCAATATTTTGTCTTATTATTGAGTTTTTTCTATCGTCCGGGTGATACCCTATGAATTACCACCTCCTTTAACTCTTTCTCCGATCGTTCGTGGGCAGCTTGCCTTCCGATTGAGGTTCGGAAATTGAATTCTCCTCATGACTGGTTATTTTGGCAGATGGAAATGAGTGATGTTTTTCTAGGCACAAGAAAAAAATAAGCATCAAGAGAAATGTCTGAAGGAGAAGGATGAAAAATGTGCTCAGAATCTTGTGGATCTTCAACGGGAGTATGAGGAGAAAATAGCAATATTGTTGAGGCGAATTAGAGGCAGCTGTGATGAGAATGGTATGTCTTCGAATATCTGATTATTTTTTCTCTTGGAATTTTGGATTATGTGATAATTTTCAGATGAAGCGTCGACTTACTCAATTCAACAGAAAAAAATCGACCAAATGGAGGAGGAGATTACACTGCTGAAAGAAGAAAAAATGGCGCTTGAAGTATCCAATAAAGAACTGAATGAAAGAATAAAGTTCATTGAGGTATGTTTGATGAAGATGTTACTGGGTGTTGCTGAAATTGTAGTGATATATTATACTCCCCACGTACCACATACTTTTAACTATTATTGAACATTCGATAACTCATTGATACTCCAGGTGCTTTTGAACTTTCTGAAAGAAAACACTTGGGTTCACTTGTTGACATTGTTCTTTTTTCTCTCACTTTAGTACTCCTATGTAACAATAACGCTGATGATGAAGCTTTAAAGCTTCGAAACATGTCCCTGTAAGATTGCTTACAATAAAGTATAGCTTTGGTGGAGTCGACTGTAAGAATTTTGTCCTGTCCTAACTAATTTGAGGTTATTAATATGTGTGTTATGATTTTGATTGAACATATTGTGTTCGACTACACACGATTCATCTAACCTACCATATTTCAAATGTGCTAAGTGTTCTTTGAACCTTGTTTTTATGGGAGGCCTGGTTTGGCCTATACAGTCTGTCCAAGATAAGGTTGAACAGCATGGTAAACGGTAAGAGATACGAAATCGGTTAAATGGGGAAAAAGTTGCGCATTCGGAGGCTCATATCGAGAGCCTTCGAAAATTTTGAAAATTATTTTTAGTTTTTGAGTTATATCGAAAAAAGTGAATTTTTGGAATTTCTATTTTATTTTTTTTTCTCCGTTATTATCAGAGATACCGAAAAACTGAAAATACTTTTTCATTGCAACTTTTGATGAGGTTTAACGTGGTGATACCGATTTTTTTTATGCGACGTTTCGTATTCGTGGAACCATCATCAACTTTTGTTTTTTAAATACGGTCCTGATAATATTTTCACAGATTCTGAAAGGTTTTTTTATTCTGAATTCAATAATGTACTATACAAGGTGATTCGAATGTGTTTCGACCTATTTCTATCCATCATCAATGTTTTTTCGAACTTCCAAAAGAAAAAAAGCCATCAGTTCCACTTATTTCTTATCATTTAGTGTCAAACTTGATGGATTAGTTATTCAATACTGAAAAGTGAATAAAAAATATTTCACTACATCATTCGATCAATGCAGCGTTTAAAATTGTTGATGGATTCTTACACGAATGACTTTAACAACTTAACTTTGACAATACCTACAGAGACATTCATAACAAATGTTCAAAATGACAACCATTATTTTCTGAACAAAGATATCCTCTTCTCACAGTTGTTTCTAAGACATTGCTAAGCATTTCTGGGGTTATTCTATTGAATGCTTCGAAGACACTGTCCCTTAGTTCTTCTTCATCCTCAAAGTTATTTGCGTGTACAAAGTTCGATATATCCCCTAAGAAAAAATCCAGCTGTGTCAAATCAGGCGACCGCGCCGGCCAAGGGATAAAAACGCACGGACTTCTCTGGAATTATGTACCGGAGCGCCATCTTGTTGAAACCAACAGAGTTCTGAACTTCCACAATCGGTAAATCATCCAGAGCTTCCTCAAGATGATTCTCAAGCGAATTTCTATAACGTTCGGAAGTCTGTGTTTCATGGTAAATAGAAGGAACAATAATTCGTGTACCAAATATTGCAACCCACATATTAAAGCCGAAACGGTGTTGGTGTCTCGCTGTAATGTATAAATGTTCATTTTCTCGTGAACAATAATGTGTATTTTTTCTATCGAAGATACCATGATTAGTGACCATGCTTTCATCAGTCCAGATGATTGTTCGAAAGAAATCTGCAAAATTTCAACATTTCCTGGTATACCACTTACAGGATGTCTTGCGCCTTTCGTCATCTCCTGGTTTTAGCGCTTGACATATTCTGAATTTGTATGGATGGAATTTTTGTTTCCGCAAAATGAAATGGGTTGTTGATTGAAACCAGTTGATGAGGTATTAGTGTGTTGACTAATTTTCCTTCAAAATTAGTGGAACTGATGGCATTTTTCCTTTGGAGTTTCGAAAAAACATTGATGATGGCCAAAAATAGGTCGAAACACAAATGAACCACCTTGTATAATACATGGTTGAATTCAGAATAAAAAAACCTTTTAGAATCTGTGAAAAAATTATCAGGACCGTATTTAAAAAACAAAAGTTGATGATGGTTCCACGAATACGAAACGTCGCATGAAAAAATCGGTATCACCACGTTGACCGTCATCAAAAGTTGCTATGAAAAAGTATTCTCAGTTTTGCTGTATCTCTAATAATAACGGAGAAAAAAAAATTAAATAGAAATTCCAAAAATTCACTTTTTTCGATATAACTCAAAAACTAAAAATGATTTTCAAAATTTTCGAAGGCTCTTGATATGAGCCTCCGAATGCGCAACTTTTTCCCCATTTAACCGATTTCGTATCTCTTACCGTTTTCGAGATCCCCATGCTGTTCAACCTTATCTTGGACAGACTGTATATGTTTTATCACAATCATCATAACTAATTTCGTATATTCCTGACTTCTCAAGTGTGTCCACCTCATCTTTTGGATTATCTGATAAATTGACTAACTTTGACTCAGACTGATGAACCAGGGCCTACTGTATCTCACCGGGCCGGAGCATCGCTTTCGTGACGTCACACTAGTAGGGACAAAATCAACGCAGTGGAAATTGTCTCTCCCGTTTCATTGATTTACCTCGGGAAAACGGTCACAGTTAGCAAAAAATATCAAGAGGTCAAATATGTACAGAAAATAATTCTCCAGAAGATGAATCTAATTTCACTGATCTACGATCATTAATTTCAGAAATATGGAATATCAAAATTAATTGACACCATTCGGAATTGTCCTTTTTCAAACAGCTACCAAAATTCCAATATTCAATTCACAGAAATGATTCAATCATGAAAAGATTTCGCATAGTATCTAGATTGACTGAGTTTTTTTTTTTGAATTCCCAAGGGCCAACAACAAACCGATATTTCAATTCAAGTAGAACGATGATTCAGGTGTTCATTACAGAATAGTGCAAAAAGTTCGGACGCTTCCCATGCTAATCCTATCAACTATATCTCATCCTGAAAGTTTAGTGAATTTTCTTTTTTAATTTTTTTTTATTTTGCAATAATTGTTCAACAGAACATTTTAAATGGTTTTAGAGAATGTTCTGCTGATTCCATCAAAAGACCCACAACTGCAACATTGATTCTCGGAATAATTGAGAAGGGAATTGATTTTAATTTCTGCTAAATTCTCCAAAACTTTATGTTGTGACTTACATTGTAGAAATATTGTTTCGAATTTTTCAGACACCAATATTAGTTGGTCTGAACCATACGCCATTTAGAAATAAAATGAGTAATAAAAAGTATATCCCCCTTTACCAGTCCAAGGGATTACCGCGAAATCGTAATACAGCGAAATTTGGGTAGGTAGGTATAACGGCCCATTTTTTACGCGCTCTTTATATTTAATTCCTTTTGGACTCATTGTAGGTAACTCTACAATTTTTTCACTATTCAATTGATTCATTATCGTAGTTTGATATATTGAGTTAATTTCATCTTATTCCAATTCCAAATTTGCAAAAAATAGTATTCTGTAGTACAACGTCCTGATTTTCAATAAAATGGAATTTCGTTACAACGCCATAACTCGGTATTAATTCATCCTATTGGATTCATTTTTTCACCAAAAGTTGAGGAATTTGTTGGGGATCATTTCGTCTCGATTGAGTGTGCTTCTAAAATTTATAGTAAATGATCTATAGCCTATCAATTACGAACGTACCAGTACGGACTGATGTGAAATATCAACCTACTAGTGTGACGTCAGCGTCGAGAGAGAGGGGATAGACTACGGCCCGGTGAGATAGAGTAGGCCCTGGATGAACGCTTTAAAAACCTAAGTCTTTGAAAACCTTATCAAGTCCTTGTACTTGGGATCGAACGGGATTGGGATTTTCCTCGGATTGTTTTTATCCGATTGAAAAGTCGTGGTATTTCTGAGTGATAACTCAAACTTATGTCTACGTATTAATTTATCTACTATTTTGATATCATAATCATTGACGCAAGCCACTTTATAAACAACACTCCTTTCAACATCTAAACTTTGTTTGCTCAGAGGAAATGAAACTAGTCGATGTACTAGGAAATTTAAACTTGCCATTTTGTGTGGAAAACAGTGATTGGAGTCATCAGTTTTGTGTCTAAGTGTGTTAGTTTCTTTTCTAAAAGCATTAAATTCTCAATTGCTTTCGCCATTTTTCATCACAGAACATCTAAGAATGGTAATTGACCGTTGTTTTCGCATCCAGAAGTTGAATTTGATAGAGGGGAAGCAATTATTCAATAGTGAAAAGAAGTTATCTATATCTGTGATTTTCCTATCAAAAATGGCAAAAATATCGTCGACATAATATCTAATCCAAAACCTAGGGAAATACTCGAATTTTTCTTTTGCATTCGTTTGAAACCGATGCATGAACAGTTCAGCCAAGAAAGGTTATAAACAATTACCTGAGATGTTTATAATGGGCGTGTACACCTTAGTAGAACTTTCAACTCAAACCATTTTTATATTATGATCCTTTTATACATAAATAATGATTGACGTCATAATTCGATCGAAAAATTAACTGGAATGTTTTATTTTTGGACATAAATAATAGTACCTTCTGAAAACGGACCCGCTTATGACGTAGAAACATCATCTCGCCGTAGTTAAAAGAAAATACCAAACGTCCGACGAAGACTGAGGCAACTGATATATTAATTCATTCAACTGTGATCTCGCGCTAATTCACTCTGTCAGAAATCATGAATCATTCAACTATGTCTGGAATAGTATTGTTTCAGTATTAGGGTTTTGACGTCACATCATCGCCTCGTTTTCAGAGGTCCGAAAAATCGGGGATTTCAATAATCTTTTATAAAACGTAGGCACAGCAAGAAACGGTTTGCGGTGGTGAGCTAGTTTGGGTGAGTTCTATCGAATTATGAAATACAATGTTTTTGTGATGTAAGCCCATTCCTCTGGTGTACCCACTCTTCAATTGTTTCGTCAGAGTAGCTCTCGATATAAACAATTGAATGCGAGTTCGGAACGTGGGGTTCTCATATTCGATGATAGATGGCGTCAGCGATGGACAATTTCTTGAAAAATTCCAAAATGCGTTTCGAAACTTATTATGAAGTTGAACTAGACTTTCAAGGATGTATTTTTCTTCTTTCGGGACCTTAAGAGTCCCGTTGTTGACGCACTAATTCAATAATAGCTGATGAGAAACATCTAGACAGGACGCAAAAGAGACAGGGTGCAACAAATTAGTTGGGTGAGTGTATTGTGCTTTCATCATGGACTGACTGCTGCAATATGTGAGGATTTTTCGAAAATCCGAACATTCGTTTCATTTTATGTACCAATAGTGAGTAAATAAACTATTATCATAGGATTTTCTTGAGCTAGGACTTCGTGTCGTTCATGAATTCACCATTGAAAGTAGAAAATATGACGCGTCGTTTCCATTTGAACAAAAAATTGTGAAAATGAAAATGTGAACTTGAATGAATTTGTGATGATGCCTGTAAATTTGGTTTGAAACTTCGAAAATTTAGCAAGATTCTCCCACGCCTCCCTATTTTTACAAAGTAGGTGATACCGAGAGAAACTCCTATCAATAGGAAGTGATAACACCATTTCACTTCCTATACATCTATCAATTACCCAAGGCTGTACCTTCATGTTGTTCAAAAAATTCTTGTCTGTTTCGAAAAATATTTTGGCTCATGCAGAGGTTTGTGAGATTGACCAATGGGCTTATATCACAAAAAAAAATTATTTCATAATTCGATAGAACTCACCCAAACTAGCTCACCACCGCAAACCGTTTCTTGCTGTGAGCTCCCTACGTTTTATAAAAAATTATTGGAATCCCCGATTTTTCGGACCTCTGAAAACGAGGCGATGATGTGACATCAAAACCCTAATACTGGAACAAGACTATTCCAGACAGAGATGAATGATACATGCTTTCTGACAGAGTGAATTAGCGCGAGATCACAGTTGAAAGAATAAATATATCAGTTGCCTCAGTCTCCGTCGGGCGTTTGGTATTTTCTTTTAACTATGGCGAGATGAGGTTTCTACGTCATAAGAGGGTCCGTTTTCAGAAGGTACTATTATTTATGTCCAAAAATGAAACATTCCAGTTAATTTTTCGATCGAATCATGTCGTCAATCATTATTTATGTATGAAAGGATCATTATAATCATGGTTTGAGTTAAAAGTTCAACTAAGGTGTACACGCCCATTAACTTGGCGGTTATTGTCTATTCACAGTTTGGTGGACCATTGTCGTTCTAGATGACAACCTAGTTAGGTAGTTAGTAGGCAGGAGCTATAATAACCTCCTCGCACTAGGTCGCCTACTAGGTTTTCATTTAGATCGACAATGGGTGGACATATCTTTAGTATATAAGTAGCCCACTAGGAATACTAGGATAGAGTATTTAGTTTTAATCTTCTGAAGATTATTTTTGTGGAGGTGTAAAAATCGGTTTGGTTATTGGTAAAACAGTGTGTTTAGTTGAAAAGGGATCTATTGCATAAACTTTTTTTTTTAGAAGTTATCTGCCGAACATAGGAACACTATGCATACACCCGTTGCAGTTAAACAAGAGGTGAGTAATTATTCTTATAATTCGTAAAGTAATTGCTGACATGTTTACTTTGTAGAAAATCCTTCATGAAAAGACACAGAACATAAAAATCTCTGCCCCTAAAGATGGAGTTAACGATGTGACCTTTGTCAAAGTTGATGTAAGTAGTTATCTTGTCTAGACTCTCAGAAAATTTTATTTTTGCTTGTATTTTGAAGTAGAATGAACGATTCAATTTTTTTTTTCAAAATTCACTACCCAAAATGGTCTTTGAATTGACATGATTCATCATTTCATGGCTTACTGTAACTCCAATTCATCCAACTAGATGAATAACAACTGATGTCGGTGCTTGGGGGTAATTTTTTATGAAAAATTCAATGGTGACAATATTTATCATCGTTCCCGATTCACAAGATTTCGATTTTTTAAATTGAACACCCTGTATTTTATAAGCTCATTAAATTCCTATTTTTTCCCTTGGAAATGATGTACAGTGTGTCCCACTTCACCATGGGTATCTTTTTAACGGAGATACGAGGTCGGTTAAATGACACCAAATGTGGAGTTTGTCAAGGCCAACTATAATGTGAAAAAATATTTTGATAAAATCTATTCGTTTTTGTTTTATACGCAAAAAACAGATTTTGATCATTTTCATGTCTCCTCCATAACTTCTTTATTTATGAAAATATTCAAATAGGAATTTCACATTCTTATGGCAGTTGTTCAAAGTGATTTCGAGAAAAATATGAAATTCATAACAACTCTTCTAGAATTTGAGATATCAGCACCAACTTTAGTTTTTCGAAAGTAGGTCATAGCTCACTATGACTAAGTTACAAATAACTTTTTTTTCTCTTACAGATGATATGTCGCACTAATAGTTTTGTGTTGATAACAACAGAGTTATCGTCATTTATACAAAAACAAGAAATTATTTGGAAGCCGCCATCTTGGATTTATCAATTTTAACAAAAAAATCATGATCTCCGACCTCACCAATTTTGATGGAATCGGACCAAATCTTGTCCGCCATCTTGGAGCAGCCATTTTTTTCAATTTCAACAAAAATTCCATAATGTATTGTCACCGAAATTATGAACACCTGCCAGATTTCAAGTTAATCGGAGTTCTAATTTGTTACTTGCCGTATTAGTGTATGATTTAGTTTTTTATCATAATATCCTGGAAATTTGCCACTTATCACACTAGTGTGGAAATTGGCCACTTCCCGCACTTGTGTGGTAATTGATTACATCCCGCACTAGTGTGGCAATTGGATGCTTCTCCAAAGATAACTGAGATATCACGCACACGCACCGAAAAGTTGACACACTGTACATGAAATTTGATGATATCCGTACAGGGGTATTTAATTCAGATCACAGAAAATCATGAAGTTTTAAATCAAACTCTGATAGATCTTTTTGAGTAGTACGTTTTGTAGGAAGAAAATTGAAGCAGGATACACTGTATTTTATGTTTATAATTTAGTTCGGTGGATTCCAAATTCCCCCTTTTTATTTTCAAGGATCTGGACAATAGTTTATCCGATATTGACGATGACTTAGAAAATGACCCGGATTGGAGAAAAACTCCTTTGGCCAAACGATTGCTGGAAGAAAAAAAGAAATTTACATTCGTAAGATCTGCTCTAGGTGAGTCACTTGAATATTTCCAATAATTTTCATATTGTCAACTTCATTCTTCTTAAGTTTCAACGCTCTGAGACCAGTGCTGAAGCCTTCGAAAACGGTAAAAAGTTGAAAAAAAAGAATGGTTAGATGAAACCCATTGGAAGAGAGAGAGAATATAATAAAGATGAGAGGCAATAGTTATTTACCTAACGAGTGCGAAAAGTAACACTTTTCCCAAGAGCTGAGTTCAAAGTTTTTCCTACGAATGTTTTTGTCCATATTATTCATGAAAGAAAAGTGGTTTTTTAATTAATATTTTATAATACTATAATCTTATTTATTTATTTATTTATTTATTCATTGAACAAATAACTTCCAGACAGAATAGGCTCTGGTATAAGGAAGTACATAATTATATACCTATAGGTAAACATATCATTATAAAAAATATATCAACAACTGTAAATTGACAAACAAAGAATAATATTTGTAAAAAAAAATGGCATGTTCAATTTTATCCAGTTCGCTCAGAAATAATCAATTTTTTCACTTCATTTTTGAATGAACCTATATTTCTGCAATTTTTTATATTTTCAGGTAAATTAATGAGTGAATCTTTTTTGCCCGATAATGGAGCTAGCGGCGTCAAGATGAAACAAGTTATATTGTCTTGTTTCATGATTATGAATTTCAGAATTCCGTATCAACATGAAATTCGACTTCAATTTTTTATTTATGATATTATATGATATTTTAAGAGTTTCAATTCTATATATTTCATCTAAAGAATACGTATTTGTTATTTCAAACAATTGATTGGTTGGTGTATCAAATGGGAGACGATACAATACTTTTAACGATTTTCTATACAGTGTCATTCATAAAGTCGGCATCATATGGGAAAAAGTTTTGCTTCAAAAAAGATGAAAAATGGCCTACTCAATCAGGGTCACGTGACTTTCGTTACATGTTAAAAGTGACATTTTTTCAAATTAATCGCTGAAAGTAGGCTCATTTGTTCCAATATCGAAAAAGTTTACTGGAAAAATTTGTTTCTAATTCAATTTTACACATGCTTCACGAATTTGATCTTTCTATTGCAACTTTCTGATTTTGATTTTTTTTTAATTTTTCGAAATTTCTGTAATATTTGAAGAATTGTTAATTCCACGAAACTACTTCATACCAGTAACTTTTTCATGCTTCTTACTTTCAATTACTTATTATCACTGATTATATGGACAGAAATATGATTTTCTTCAGAAAATGATAATACCCGCTTCCAAATTCTGTTATGTTTGATGCAAAGTTGATATATCGTCAAGCATTTAGAAACAAAATTTATTTAAACTGATCTTTTCAGTACTGGAAAAATAAATTCAAATGAATTTCGTTTCTAAATGCTCGATTCAAACATAACATAATTTTGATGTTATGTTTGCATCAAACATAACAGAATTTGGAAGCGGAGATTATCATTTTCTGAAGAAAATCATATTTTTGTCGATAATTAGTGATAATTAGTAATTGAAAGTTAGTAGCATGATGAAACTACTGGTATGAAGTAGTTTTATCGAATTAACAATTTTTTTATTATTACAGAAATTTCCAAAATTTTAAAGAAATATCGAAATCTCAAAAATGTAATAGAAAGATAAAATCCGAGTCACATATGTAAAATTCAAATAGAAACAACTTTTTCGAGTAAACTTTTTCGATATTCGAACAAATAAGCCTACTTTCAGCGATTAATTTGAAAAAATGTCACTTTTGACATGTAGCGAAAGTCACGTGACCCCATTTGAGTATGCCATTTTTCATCTTTTTTGAAGGAAAACTTAACGTCCAACTCGAATATCAAAATAAGTCATTAATAAAAGTTTTTCCCATATGATGCCGACTTTATGAATGACACTGTATAATGTTGATATTTTATTGAAATTCTTCTTTGAACAAGTTCCCCAAACATTTATTAAATAGTTGATACGACTCAGTATATGAGAGTAGAGAATCATGTTTGCAATTTTAATATCAAGTTTGGGACATCTTCTCAATGCACCAATAATTGGAGATATATTTTTTTGTCAGAACAGCAATATGTTTGTCCTACTTCAACCTGCCATCAAACCAAATTCCAAGATATTTTATCTGGTCAGTTTGTTTTAAGAATTCATTTTTCATTTTAAGGTTGAGGTGAATTTCTTGTTTATTTTTCTGGTGAAAAATCTTATAATCTGGTTTGTTAGTATTTATCGATAAAAGGTTAGAGTGGAGCAATCTTTCAAATATTTTCAAGTCTTCATTCATCATATTTTCAAAATTTGAAGGATTCTTGCCTTCATATAAAAGTACTGTATCATCTGCATACATAGTATATTTACTCGTGAGACCAATAATGATGCTACAAAATGACCATAAGACAGAATAGTTACATGAAATATATTTTTTTATCATCGATATAATAGGAAACCTATTCAAACAACATTTATATAACAATAACTAAAACATTAACAATGGTCAATATTGAAATTGAAAGTGCAATTTGTGTTTGTTGCATGCTGTAATATCTTGAAGAACGTCGTTTCTTATTCGAATTTAATTGATTGGTGTTTGCCCCACTACTAGTCCAATAAATAAAGGGAAAAAGTTAACATTAATTACGCACTATTTTCATCTTCTGGTTGGAAGTAGCTTTTGGAACCTCATTAAACTTGAGACAAAGTTTGACTGGAAAACGCGTGCGATGGCGGAGAAAATGGCCCCAAAAGACCAGAAAGATAGGTTTTCAGCCAATATATCTCCTAAAATATGGCAGTTAGAGATTTTCGGTTCAGATAAAAATTGAAGTTCAGTTAATTTTCTACAAAAATGGTCCTTATCATTTTTCTCGAAAATTTGCCCGGTTTCGAGAAAAACGGCACGAAGCGCACCTCGAATAATGAGCTTCTGTTGTATGCCGGAGAGCACAGTCCGTGTATTTACACATCGGCGGGGGGACAAATTATTCAATAACTTTGTTGAAATAGCTATTTGTGTATTTAGAGCGCAAAGTGATAGATTACCGCTCGACAAAGAAAGTTACCGCGCGATGCGGAGCGGAGCGCGGTAATCTTCGGAGAGCGGCAATAACACTTTGTGCTCGAAATATACACATGATTTTTTCTTCTATCGCAGCTTTTGGAAATAACTGCCCTGGAAGTATGAGCGATTGAAATAGTTGAAAAAGTTCTTATCCATATTATCCCATATGTCCAAAGGAAACAGAAAAGAAAAATTGAAATAAATGACAAGCCAGAAAAAAAATGTCGGGCATACCGAGAATTGAAACAGGACCACCAGCGTGGCAACCTGATCTTCAGACCTCTGAGCCATAGTACGACAAACTCTGCAATCAAATTGAACATTACTCATTGATGCAATAAAATAAAGATACACTGTCTTTCTGATGACAACAAAGAGTTTAAATATGAAGTATAATTCATCGTTTTCAACAGATATGCTTCATCGGGAGCTTCTGATAGAACTTTGTTGGTATATATCTTCAGCGGTGAATGTTTTGGATTTTTCTCGCTTTATAACCAATAGATTGTTTCTTGAGAAATGCGATAAGTTTCAGATACTTATTGATTCCGATATTATTTTTAACATTCAAGCATGTATGTATACGTGTACCATCGAATATATAGAATGAGTTGATGACTTCAAAGTCTTTGATTTTTTACCAAAATAAGCCAGTAAAACGTTTTCTGAATACATATTCACCATCTCAGAGTGGCACCAATTCATGAATGTATCATATTGTAATTCATATTTCTTCCTTGATTTCTCCGGTAAGAGATTCAAACTCTTGCGCTTTCTGCTATATCATCAGGAAGGAGGTGTGTTTGATGATTCACTGTCACTATTTTCCACCATGACAGAATTGGGGGTTTTCAAGAATAGATAAGTATAGGTTACAGAGATGTGCGAGCGTTTTTTCAATATTTCCGCTCACGAGCGCAAATGCTGTCAAAGAATGACATTTCTGGGAAAACGTCAACTTTATGCTGGAATTTGAAAGCGTCAAAGGCTACTTTGTTAAGCCTTTGTAGAAAAATGCATATTTTCTCATGATTCAAAGTTCATGTGAAAGAGGAATTCTGCTGCTATCATTTTAAGTCCACTCTCTCATTATTATGATTCCTCTGGTTCTTGACTATTTACACCCTGTATTATGCTCAATTGAACCAACTGAGAACACGAAATCGTGTGTGATTTTTCAGATTTCGACGAGGATGAAAAAACCAATAGGGCACCGAAAAGATCTTCCGATGGTGGTTGCTATTGCAAAACCAATTGCATTACGGGGCGATGCGGTTGCAAAAAATTCGGTGGAAAATGCGGAACTGGCTGTAAATGCAGTGAAACTATGTGCGCAAATAGAGACGCGGTAAGATTTTTTTTGATTTTTCAAAAATTCTTCCCTCCCCCCTTCCCCCCTGTTGCAACTGTCTGACTGTCGTATTTTTTTGTTCGTTTTTCAGGCATCTTCATCTTCGTTAGATGCTTCTGGGGAAGAGTTCAAAAAACCAAGGTGAGAAAATAATATGATTCACTCTGTATAGAGTGAAATGGCTTTATCTCATCAGTTGTTGTTTTTGACACATTTTATATACATTTCATACCCTTTTTATGATGGTATATAGGGTGTTCCTGAATTCAAGGTTTCTTCCATAAAAATAAGGACATTTTGAGCACAAATTGATTGATTGATTGTCTCTATTACCCCAAGAAACATAGTTGTTTATAATAGGGATACATAAACAATATACATAATGTTATACATACAATTATGAAATTATAATAAGATATAACAAGTAAAAAAAAAATAATCATGCAATATCAACCTTGTCTTTTATAAGTAGGTATTCAAATAAGAAATGGAATTATCAAAGTCTCTGAAGCAGATATTTTTTCAAGTTAATTTTGAATCTAGTTGCTTTCTGTATATTCCTCAATTGACTTGGTAATGAGTTGTATAGAACGATTCCTGTGTGAAAAATTGATTGTTTGCCGATATTTGACTTGAACGTATTTGCTATCAGTAAATTTGATTGTCTTGTTCAATGATTATGTAATGAATTGATTTCATTGAAATTTAAATTTGAAATTTTCAATTCATATAGGACAAATTGAATAAAACAACATATTTTAAGTTTATATAGTGATGTCATATCTAATAAATCTCTAGGTTTGTATAAATTCATGGTTGGTTCGAGAAAATTTGAATTGAAAATACACTTCAATGTTTTGTTTTGTAATTTCATTAGTGGACTCAAACTTGAAATATTGGTACTTCCCCATAGATATAAGGTATTGAAATTTTGAGTAAATAAGAAAGAAAGAAATAAATACTCTTCAAGTATCTAGTAGAAATGAAATTTCGTATTTTGAATAAAATGCCTGTAATGGGATTAAGTTTTTTTCTTAAATGATCTATATGTTTATTCCACAATAGTCGTTCATTAATATAAAGACCTAAAAATGTTGTTACATCTGTATATTTGATGAGTTTATTGTTGAAGGATAGTGTTCTATTTGAAATGTTCAATGTTCTTTTTGCTATGTACATATATGAGGATTTGTTATAATTGAGAGATAGTTTATGAACTTGTAACCAAGAGGATATATTCTCTAAATCACTTTTCATGTCCATGATAATATTATTTGAATCTTTAGAGAAATAAATCAATGTCGTGTCATCTGCAAATAATTTAAGTTTTCCTCTCAATTCCAAGTTTGATATTGAATTTATGTAGATTAAAAATAAAACTGGTTCCAAGACTGACCCTTGCGGAACACCGCATGAGATGTTCATTAAGGAGCTGCAAGTATCACTCACATCAAGATATCGTTTTCTATTTGATAGATAATTTTGGAACCAATCATGAATTCTTCCTCTGAAACCAATTGAAAATAATTTATTTAATAAAATGTTATGGTTGACAGTTTCGAAAGCTTTGCATAAATCTAATGACAATAAACCGCATTGATCATTTTTATCTATTCGTAATTGGATATCTGAAATAACATCCATAACGGCTACTTCAGTGTCTTTCGATCTACGGAATCCATACTGACCACTCTATAGCAAATTGTTATTTTCCAGGAAATCAAGAAGACGATAATTCATAATTTTTTCTATAACTTTTGAATGAACCATGAGAACAGAAATGGGTCTGTAATTATTCATATCATCTCTCCTGCCAGTTTTGTATGTAGGCAATACTTTCGCAAGTTTTTCCAATTTCTTATAGTTTTTTTAATAACTTTTTGCCTGATTTTTTTCCTATCAACCTTTTTTTTTTCATCCAAACAAATGCAAATCAACTCTTTCTTCAAAATGAAATATTTAGGATAGGAAAGAAACAAAAAACCAAGGTTTCATTTTACGTGCATAAACCTGAACACTGAGTGAATTATAGGTGGTCCAAAACATGCTTCATTAGATTTTCAACAAACTGAGAAAATGTCATCGAAGTTTTCATTTGATTTTTCAAATTTCAATACCCTTCATCATAATGAACCATCTTTAGATATACTGTTTTTTTCACTTTTTTCATGTTATCCTAGGAGAAATCACTCCTAGGCTTTTGTCACTTGAATTCAGGAACACCCTGTACAATATTGCATGAAATGTGGTATATTTTGCACTAGTGGATGTCCAAGGTAACGCTAGAAGTTAGGAAATACACTGTTCAACGAGATATGTACAGGGTGGGCGAAATTGGACAAGTACTAGATAGAAAAAAGCTTCTATCTTCATTTCAAAGTTACAAGGTGTTTTTCGAAAATGTGAATTTTTGTAAAGTGGCTTGAGCTATTTTTTTTTTGTCAAAAATTCTTCGTTGTCATGGAAACATTTCCAAAGCATGAACTCTATCCATAATATAGGTATACAATATTATAATGAATTGCCAGGACAAATACAAAATCTTCCCTTTCATAAATTCCGAACGAAATTGAAAAAACGGATTCTAGTTCAGTGATGGGACGAATTTTTTCCGTTTAATGAAAACATTTTTGACAGAGGTGACAAATTTGAAATTTTGCTCTCACTGTTTGATCCCTTCACATTTTTTCTACAAAAATTGTATACTTCATTTCAATCGATATCTTATACCGATCTAGAGAAATTCGCATTTGGAAACATACATCCCAACCGTTTCAAAGCTGATAAAACTCCATTGATCATCAATGTATGGATAGAACTAATTGGCAACTGCACAATAATTATGGACCTTATATCATTAATTGTACTTTGATAGTATATTATGTAACAAGTGTTATAAACGTCCTTTTAGTAACGATTAGTTTAAGCACGAGCGGAGCGAGTGTTTAATAAACGAGTGTCTAGAAGAATTTATAAACGCGTTACATACTATGATTTTTCTACGAACCCCAAAAATTACATTAACATACCTGCAATTCCTGCTAACCTACAAAATAATTCGAAAGGAATGGGAGTTGAGAACATAATACATGCAACTGCATGCAACCAGCGAGACACGTATAAGTGATATTGGTTGCAGATGTGTCCAGTCCATTGCTTGATAATCTTTGTTTCACGTTCATCGTCATGCTTAGCGCAGAATAAATAAATTGTTCTCAAAGATGAATGCTTCATTTTTACACTTCTTGGAGATATGCAAGTACCAGAACATTCTCTTCGATTTCACTTTCGTCTACATTTCGCATATATTTTGAATGAAGAATTCTGATACAAACGAATATTGTTTGAATAATTCTGATACAAAATTCGAAAATAACAGTTGACAGTTAATACAATTGACAGGCCAGACGTGTCGAATTCCTGAAGCTGTGTTTAATGAACTGCGTTGCCATGGTAATGTGTTTAAGAAATCGTGTTGCCATGGTAACGTGTTTAATATCTTGAATAAATCACAGATCAACACAAAATTCGAAAATAACAGTTGACAGTTAATATAATTGACATGCCAGACATGTCTCAAATTACTGAAGCTGTGTTGAATGAACTGCGTTGCCATGGTAATGTGTTTAAGAAATCGTGTTGCCATGGTAACGTGTTTAATATTTTGAATAAATCACAGATCGTCAATCCGTAATTAATCGATCATTTAGCGTGGTACATATCCGTACGCTAAATGCCATTTTAGTTATGTGAGTAGAAAAATAAACATAAATATTCAACTTTTTTTAAGAACATCCAGATCCGTATTATGTGGCTGATGTACGATTGTGCGCCTCTTCATTTTGACAAAGCTGTAATAGATCAGTTGAACAACACATTTTCCCATGGTCACCTCGTTCACCTGCTCTTAATCTACTTGATTCAGTTCCTTGTGGTCTATCTTGAATGTTTAGTCTATAAAACACCTGTAAATATTAGGAATGACCTTTTATATCGAATTCTTACATCTGGACACGCCGTAAGAAATGATCATCACATGTTTTCTCGAGTTTAGACAACTTTAGAAAATAGGTTAAAGTTCTAGATACACATATTGGAAACCATTTTTGATAATCTGTTTGTCTTCACTGATGTCATTAAATAGGTAAGTATCTTTTATTACCTCTGAAACGGTTGGAATGTATGTTTTGAAATGCGATTTTCTCTATAACGGTACAAGATATCGATTAAAATAAAGTATACCATTTTTGTAGATAAAAGATGGATGAATCAAACGGTGGAAGCAAAATGTGAAATTTGTTACCTGTGTCAAAAATGCCTTCATTAAACGTAAATAAATCGTCCCATCCTGTATAAAACATATTCACTGAAAAGTCGTTTATTTACCTGCCCGAATATCATTGATACCATGGCAACCGTTTGAAAGTTACACATGAAATTATTTTTACTATCCTAACTTTAAAGGTCAAATATCAAGTGCCTCACTTTTTTTGGAACTGAGTGTATTTTTACTAATATTCGATTTCAAATTTGGGTGAAATATGCAGGAGGACCATTAAATTTGTCAAGTAGTTTTTATGCAATGATCTGTTTTTCAAGTGAACAAAATGAATTGAATGCGCTGATGATTACAAGGAGGTTGTACGCGTCTGCTAGAAGTCGATTGTCACGGAGGTTCGACATCATTTCTAATTCGAAAGTCAAATCACTATTAACATGGTCGATTTATTTCTTTCAGCATCGAGGAACTACCCAAGAAGAGGGATAAAAAGATAAAAACTAGGAAATTCTTTTCTGACTTGTAAATCTTTTTCGATGATCCTCAAGAATTTTATTTTATGTTGACCTATTTATAATTATTTTTTGTGTAAGTGTTTTCAGTACTATCTAAATTTCGATGTACAGAGTGAGCGAAATGCGATGTCTCAAATTTATTATGAGGAAAGAAAACCTGGAAAGTAAGGTCCATTTCAAGCCAGGTTGAAATGAATGATTTTCCTCAACAACGAAAAATTTGAAGTAATGGTTGAATCGCACCTTACCCAATCCTATTCACGAACCACTTTTTAGATTTCTTATATCATTTTCAATATAATGAAGCTGAAATAACCAGTTTTGCTCACCCTGTGCATTTGAATTCTATATTTTAAATGTTGTTCCATCGGGAAACAGAAATATTTCAACATTGATAGGAAACACCGACGACAACTATTTATTTTTTTCTCTCACAGACTTGATAACTATTCACATACACTGTGTCCCAGCTAAAATGCCCCCCTTCCCTGTAAAAAATCAACCGTGCGATCGAATGACTTGAAATTTGGTCACCCAGTATATTTGATGATGCCCACTCGAAATGTGCTATTGAATAAATCGTAGGTATACAGGGTCACACCGAAGTGCACCTAAACTTTCCTATTTTGATAGGGACACCCAGTATATTATTCCATATTCAAATAGAGTTCATTGTTACAAATCCAACAATGCCGGGTTTGATGGGATTTTTTCAAACGACTACGAAGATATGGCGAAAAATAAAACGACTCAATAAAACATTTATATGATTAGATTTTATTAATATAACACGATTGAAATCGAATGAAAAGAAAATAATTAAAACCTCAACTGCTCAATATGTCGTCCGTTCTGCTGCAAACATTTCCTAGCTCTTTTTATAACGTTTATTTTGACCCTATGTATCACGTTGCGATCAATTTGAGCGCATAAATTTGTGATTTTCTCTTTCATTTCATCCATATTCACAATCGGCGACTCATAAGCTTGTTGTTTCAAGCAACCCGACAAATAAAAATCAAGTGGGGTGAGGTCTGGCGACCGAGCTGGCCAGTTGCTATCACCATCGAGACAATTGGTGGTTATTAGATTTTCTCCAAACGAATGGCGAAGGTAATCCTATACAGGGTGGCCCACGGTCGATGGTACCTTAAACGTATACGGAAAACGGTACATTGGATTATCCTGAAAATTTGGTTACTCTAATAAGCGTTTGTGATCTAACGATTCAAAATATTTTCAGCGATGCAGCGTTGCCACTTTTACCAAAAAGTAGCATCATCTTTGTTATTTCAAATGGAACACCCTGTATTTCATTGCGTTTTTAGATTCTTCTCGAAGAGCTGATTCCATCAATGCATCACACTTGGGGTCTAGCAGGAATTATTACAGAGATATAGGGTGTTCAAAATCGAGATTTTTCAATTTCAGGAATTTTTTGTGTCGAAACTATTCATTATCGATCAAAACGGCTCACATGTCCCTATCTTAACTTTTGATTCACTATCTACTGACATTAAATTGGAACAGATACAGGATGATCGAAATTCTGAATCTTGAAGCACCCTGTATTTTTTCCAATTAAATTCCAGGAGATAGTGAATCAAAAGTTAATATAGGGACATGTAAGCCGTTTTGACCAATGATGAATAGTTTCGACACAAAAAAAATTCTAAAGTTGGAAAATCTCGATTTTGAACACCCTATATCTCTGTAATAATTTCTGCTAGACCCCAAGTGGTGAAATCAGCTCTCAGAGAAGAATCTTAAAACGCAATAAAATACAGGGTGTTCCATTTGAAATAACAAAGATGATGCTACTTTTTGGTAAAAGTGGCAACGCTGCTTCGCTGAAAATATTTTGAATCGTTAGATCACAAACGCTTATTAGAGTAACCAAATTTTCAGGATAATCCAATGTACCGTTTTCCGTATGCGTCTAAGGTACCATCGACCGTAGGCCACCCTGTATAAATTTTTATTGAATCGTTTTATTTTTTGCCATATCTTCGTAGTAGTTCGAAAAAATCCCATCTAACCTCGCATTGTTGAATTTGTCATAATGAACTCTACTTGATTATGGAATAATATACTGGGTGTCCCTATTTGAATGAGGAAGTTGATGTGCACTTTGGTGCGACCCTGTATACCTAAGATTTATTCAATAGCATATTTCGAGTGAGCATCATTAAATATACTGGGTGACCAAATTTCAAGTCATTCGATCTTGCGGTTGATTTTTTTTACAGGGGGGGACATTTTAGCTGGGACACGCTGTATACAGGCTGATTCACGGTGGATGGCACATTAGATGTTTCTGGAGAACGCAACTCAGGATTATTCTGAAAAGTTGGTGCCTTAATATGGAACTAAAATATTCTCGGCATTGCGACGTTGCCGCTTCTATTGAAAAGTAGCAACAACTTTGATTTTTTAAATGGGACACCCTGTATATTCCATTTTCAGATTCTTCCTGAAGAGCTGATTTCATTGACCCATAACACTTGGGGTCTAGCAGTGATAACTACAGAGTTATAGGATGTGAAAAATCGAGATTTTTCAACTGTAGGAATTTTTTGTGTCGAAACTATTCGTAATTGGTCAAATCGGTTTTCATGTCCCTATCCCAACATTTTATCACTATCAATTGATAGTCAATTGAAATAAATACAGGGTGGTTCAGAATTAAGACTTGTTGACCACCCTGTATCTATTTCGATTAAATATCAATTGATAGTACATGAAAAGTTAAGATAGAGACATGGAAACTGTTTTGACCAATGATGAATAGTTTCGACACAAAAAATTATTGAAGTTGAAAAATCGAGATTTTTCACACCCTTTATCTTTGTTATTATGGCCGGTTAGACCCCAAATGTGATAGATCGATGAAATCAGCTCTTCAGGGAGAATCTGAAAACGGAATGATATACAGGGTGTCCCATTGAAAAAATCAAAGTTGCTGCTACTTTTCAATATAAGCGGCAATGTCGCAGCGCTGAGAATATTTCAGGTCGATGAAACATTGCTAATTATCCGAGGAACCAAATTTTCGAAATAATCCTACGTTGCGTTCCCCAGTAGAGTGTGTGATCCATTTTGCTCATTTCTTCATTGGGTCCAAACAATAATTTGTGTTATCATAATAGCTTCTTGTATCACCAATT